TGTTGTTTGGCGGGCCCAGGCTGGGGATTCGAACCCGCCACCTTAGGTGTATGTGGCTGGCGCCTTAGCCGCTTGAGCCACAGGCGCCGAGCCTGTAATAAGGAATTCTATGAAGACATTGTATGCTTGTTTTCTGCAACATATCGGACAAAATCATATCTATCCTTCATTCGAGAGGATACCGGGAAAAGTGAGGTCTCGGAGAACAGAGGTCTTTTCATGGAAGTCCTAAGAACACACATGCAAGGTCCTGCCCATGGTGACTCAGCTTTTAGGAATCTGTAGAAACTTAACTTCCTGGGACCTGGAAACTAACACTTACTTCTGCTTTTGTAAAAGCCCAAGCCCACCTTCTCCAGCTCAATTCAGACTGACAAATGAGAAGGCTACCCGTGGATAAAGAGCCCCTGACTGGAGATAAAAGGGTAAAGATGGAGCCAATCAGGGAGCCCAGCCATTTTTGAACTCTAGTCCACCGTAGCTCCATCAGCTGAAATAAAGCCCTTCCTCCAAATCATGGTATTGTTTCTCTCCATTCAGGTCTCATCTTCCTGCAACACATTCATTGACTCGAAAACATTTATGGAACAACAACTTTGCTTCAATCCCTGTTGCAAGGGATTGCAATAGATAGAGAGAACAAGAACTACTATTTAGACTTTACCTAGCAAATATATGCTTGCAATAGATGAGAGAACAAGAACTACAATTTAGACTTTACCTAGCAAACGCAAACAATGTAACCTAATCATTTGTGCCCTTATATAAATCTGAAATTTAAAAAAAAATTTTCTTTATAATGAAATGTAACAGGAGAGAGAGCTAAAAAATAAAGGCTAGAATCCAGAGGAAGGTAATGTAGGAGATAAGAGGTCTGGACACTGTGGCATTTGGAGATCTGAAGAAACCTGGCATGTTTCTAATAGAAAAGAAAAAACTTAGGAAAAGAAACTTTTTTAACTTTTAACCTTTTGACTACAAACAATACCTAAGATGTTGTTCATTTTGCCAATACAAACAGAAAGCTTTACAAAATTATGAATAAGGATCGTTACTTCTTTTTTTTTGGCTGGGGCTGGGTTTGAACCCACTACCACCTCCGGTATATGGGGCCAGCACCCTACTCCTTTGAGCCACAGGTGCCACCCAAGGATCAATATTTCTTACTACTACAAACATTGCATTTTGATGATAATGAACCTATGGGAAGGGCTGTTGAGATCTGCTCGCCTCAGCTGGTACATTTCCTTTCTGAGCAATCCCCTCTTTAGTCAAAGGGTTGACACGCATACTTGGGAATAAATTATCCTTTTTTGTGCAACAAAAGACAAACAGGAGAAACATAAAAAGCCCACTTGGATTCAATAAGGAAAATGTTAACTGAGAGGTGTTCAAGACTAGAACACACCATTTGTAGAACCCATGAGCTGTCACTGCAGGTGTCCAAATAGAGATTAAAGAGCCACAGTGAAATTATAAACAAATTTTGAAGTGGGAGAAAAATATATGGCCACATGGAACTTTTAAAACCATGATTCTTCTATGTTTAATTTATTTTAAAAAATTCTGTTAGCCAGGCAAAGTGGCTCACACTTCTAATCCTACCACTCTGGGCAGCTGAGGTAGGTGGATTGTCTGACTTCAGGAGTTCGAGACCAACCTGAGCAAGAACAAGACCCCATCTCTAAAAATAGCCAGACTTTGTGGCAGGCTCCTGCAGTCACAAGTACTTGGGAGACTGAGGCAAGAGTACTGCTTGAGCCCAAGAGTTTGAGGTTGCTGTGAGTTACTATACCATGGCACTCTACTGAGGGTAACAAAATGAGACTCTGTCTCAAAAATAAAATAAATAAATAATAAAAATTTTCTCATCCATATAAAGAGTCCTTTTAAAGGATTATAATCAAATATTGTAATATAGGACATAAAAGGATAAGGAGTAGGAAAAAAATAAAAATTCTACCCTACTTTTCACTTATGACTACAAATCTCTTTGACTAGAAAGAGAGTCTTTCATCTGAGTATCTCAAAAAAGTACACTATTTGATTAGCAAATATTGCCACCGGCACTACATCAATGAACAACAAAAATCCCAGCACTCAGCTCAGCGCCCATAGCACAGTGGTTACGATGTCAGCCATATACACAGAAGGTTGCAGGTTCGAACCCAGCCTAGGCCAGCTAACCAACAATGACGACTGCAACAACAACAAAAAAATTGCCAGGCGTTGTGGTTGGTGTTTGTAGTCCCAGCTACTTGGGAGGCTGAAGCAAGAGAATCACTTAAGCCCAAGTTTGAGGTTGCTGTGAGCTGTGACGCCACAGCGCTCTACCAAGGGCAACTTAGTGAGACTGTCCCCTCCCCACCCCCACCCCTTGCAAAAAAAATCCCAGCACTCTGGGAGGCCAAAGCCAGAGGATCCTTTGAGCTCGGGAGTTCAAGCCCAGCCTGAGCAAGAATGAGACTCCACCACTACTAAAAATAAAAATACTAGCTGGGCATTGTGGCGAGTGCCAATAATCGTAGCAACTCGGGAGGCTGAGGCAGGAGGATCACTTGAGCCGAGGAGTTTGAGGTTGCTATGAACTATGATGATGTCATGGCACTCAACCCATGATTCTGTCTCAAAAAAAAAAAGACTTCCTTTGGTTTCTGTAACACCAGCTCTTCCTGGTTTTTCTTATTATTTCCCTAGATCCACGTTCATAGTTTTCTCAAAGCCTAAATCCTCAAGCCTTTTCATTCTATACTTGTTCTTTGAGTCCTGGTGCTTTCTTTTCTTTTCCTTTTTTTCCAGTGGGAGGGGACCTCACCTCAAACTCTTGGACTCAAGTGATCTTCTGTTTCAGCCTCCCAAGCAACTGGAATTACAGCCACCATGCCTAGTTTTTTCTATATTTAGTACAGACAGGGTCTCTCTCTTGCTCAGGCTGTTCTTTTTTTTTTTGTTAGTCAGGAGTCTCAAGCTGTCCCCCTGGGTAGAGTGCTGTGGCATCACAGCTCACAGCAACCTCCAACTCCTGGGCTCAAGCAAGTCTCCTGTCTCAGCCTCCCGAGTAGCTGGGACCACAGGCGCCCACCACAACACCCGGCTATTTTTTAGTTGCAGCCGTGGCGGGCCCGGGCTGGATTGAACCCGCCACCTTGGGTGTATGTGGCTGGTGCCTTAGCCACTTGAGCCACAGGTGCGGAGCCGCTCAGGCTGTTCTTGAACTCCTAAGCTCAAGCAATCCACTCACATCAGCCTCTTAGAGTACTAAGATTACAGACACGAGCCACTACAGCCGGCCCCTGGTGCTTTCTTTTTGATGCTTCCTCTAATCTTAATTATCATGTCAAAATAAAAGGAAAATATTCATAAAGGAAATGGTATTCAAAATAAATGGAAAATATTCATAGAGGAAATGGTATTCTAATCTTAAAAATATAATGAAAGATGCAATAAAGTGGTGAAATACAATGTAATTCCTATCATGTTCACTTAATTCTCTTGTTACAAAGTGCTGCATTATTTAGGTATGCAGTAAATATTGTTGGATACACAGAAGGCTCCTCTCCATAAGCTGGTTAAGAGTCAGCGCCTTAACCTCCTCCAACACTGTGTATACAATTCCAGCACAAAGTCACCCAGACACTCAGTAAAAATCAGTGATTCCTCAAATATGTTTTTCATGCATGATTAGCACACTAGCCAACAATATACTTTTTTAAAATAAATGATTCAAGCCAAGTTATCATAATTGTTTTCCATGCTGCCAGTCTTGCTCTCTTTACCAATCAAATCAATATATTAAACTGGAATTAAATCAAAGTGATATTTCTTTTTTTTGTTTTTGAGACAGAGTCTCACTTTGTCGCCCTCAGTAGAGTGCCATGGCATCACAGCTCACCACAACCTCCAACTCTCGGGCTTAAGCAATTTTCTTGCCTTAGCCTTCCAAGTAGCTAGAACTACAGATACCTGCCAGAATACCCGGCTATTTTTAGAGACAGAGTTCTCACTCTTGCTCAGGCTGGTCTCGAACCCATGAGCTCAAGTGATCAGCGCACCTTGGCCTCGCAGAGTGCTAGGATTACAGACGTAAGCCACTGCAAAGTGATATTACTAAAATCCATATTGGTACCTATCTATTTCTGGCTTAAAACTCTTTGAGAACTTAAAGATCCTCCGTGAAACTTCTAAACACTGTCTTATCTTTTCTACTATCACTCACTCACACAGGAACACTGACGTACTCACCATTCCACAAACTCACTCTTGGGTCTCAATTCCACACTCTGCATCATCTTCTTTTTGTAACATCACTCTCTGTCCCCATTCACCAAAAATCTCTCACTACTCCTTCACTGCTCCTTCAAAACTAAGTTAGAATCTCTCATACATTGCCTAAGTTCTCCTACCCTACTCCACACACATATCACACACTATAAGATGACATTTATATACAAAATCTACTATAGATTCATGTCCTTATTTGGGTGCCAAAATAAATAAAATAAATAAAAAAATA